CCAAGTTTTTATGAGGGTTAATTGAGATAAAGTACATAAAGTGCTAGGTAAGATGCAGGTACTAAACAAATGGTACTTGCTGCACTGTTGTTATCAACTCTTCCCATCTCAGTACACAGACACCTGCCTGCTCATCCCCCATGGTGGAGAAAAAGTCTGAGTTCTCAGGCCTCCAGGGACCAGGGCAGGAACCACTGCTGCTGTTGGTGGCTGAGGCTGCAGCCCCAGAGTCAAAGGGCTGGACACATGGCTTCGCCTCAGAGCCTGCAGAGAAAGAAGGGACAAGTGTCAAGGACTGAAGAGTCAGGGCCTGAGTTCTGTACCTTTGGCCACTCTCCTTGGATTTTGGTTTTGTCATCTATGAAATGGGGTAGAGAGTGGGGAACGATGGTCCCAGTGATCCTTAAGCCAACATACATGCCACCACTTCCTCACCCTGAACCTGTGCCAGGTATTTCTAGTTGACCAGGAGACCCTTTTCTGCTGAGCCATTTGCCCCTCAGGATTCCTCATGGTATATGCCATCCCCAGCAACCATCACCAGTTGATGGGAGTTGGCTCATGAGATGAAGCTGAATTGTCACACCCGCTCTAGGAAAAAGCCCTCATTGAATAGGTGCTGTTTATGGGTCCAAAGGACCAAATGCAAATTCCCAATGCCCATATTTGGAGAAGAGTCTCTAATGGTGGAACTTCAGGCTACCTCCTCTCCTCATATGTGGAATCTTCCTAATGACCTTTGAGGCCTGAAGACTCCCAAGTTCTGATGTCTTCTGGGCAGTGTGGACTACAGAAGAAACAGGGACTTTGGGTCACAGTCAACTAGACTGTTTCTCTTCCTGGACCCATCACTTAAAAAAATAATTTAATTTTTGTTTCTGCAAATGTACACAGAAAAACATACACCAACTGAGCAATTTCTATGTGTACAATTCAGTAACACTGACTACATTCTTCAAGTACAATCATTCTCACCTTCCTTTTCTGAATTATTCCCTCACCCCTAACATGAATCCACCAACCCCTAAGTTTCTCATCTAACCTTTCAAGTTGCTGTTATCAATTTGATCCACAAAGATAGTTCTTTGAAAGAACACAATGCTTGAGGCAGACATTCCCGACTAATTAAGCTAAATGATTCTTTGGTTTAAAGAAACCTTCAGCGCATATTTTTTGTTTAAGGTTTAAAAATTATCTTAAAGCAATAGTTTCAGGGGTTCATCCAGCCTCTGTGGCTCCAAAAAGTTTGGATTGCATGAAAATTTGGAATTCTGTTCTACATTATTTTAATCAATTTTTGATCAAGATACTTCTACAGAATCTGCTAAAAATGCTTGGTAATGGTATCTGGGTACCATCCACTTCTTCTGGTCTCATGGCAAAGGATACAGTTGTTCATGGAGGCAATTAGCCACACATTTCATTTCCTCTATCTGTCCTAAGTCTCCTTCCTCTGTTGCTCCAGGTAAATAGAGGCCAATTGTTGTGCCTTGTATGGTTCGTTGGCAAGATTTTAAGACCCCAGGCACTACACAACAAACTGGGAGGCAGAACAGAAGCACTAAACACACTACTAGGCCAATTAACTGGGATGCCAAGAGATGCCAGACCCTTCACTTCTTGGTTGTGTGATTTTGGGTAAGGCAGCTTTCTGGGCCTCCGTTTCCTCTTCTGGAGAGTGGACATGATAATGATGCCCACCTTTGTGATGATACCCATCTTTTATGGCTTTTGTGAGGAAAAAGCAAAGATCAAGCATTAGCCCCAGGTCTGGTACGTAGGAGATGCTTGACTAGTCTTGCTCACCTTCCTAGGTCTGGAAGGTGCCCTGGCTTGCTCCCTGGGCTGGTGTGGCCTGAGGTCCTTGCTGTGGGAGGAGTGGGTGTCCGCTTCCTTTTCCCCATGCTCCTTGCTCTCTACCTAGAGCTCATCACCCCTGCCTGCTCGAATCTCTGCAGAGGCTCCCCACCACATTCAGGAAGACCCAGCTTCTTGGCCCAGGACTCGATGTCTGCCAGGATCTGCCTCTGTGCTCTGTCCAGGCCTGAAAGACCCTCTGCCTGAGAACCCTCCATTCCTGCCTTAGCATTGCCTGCATGAAGACTTCACCCTGCTGCCCCAGAAATCCCCGTCTGCCCCCTACTTCCACAAGCCCTTGTGACTCTCCTAAGCATGCATTTTGTTCCCTGGGCATCTGGATTCCCTTCACCCCAGCCTACACCACCAGGATAGGGGCTCAGTCTATTACACCAGGATGGGGGTTTGGTCTATGACATGATTGGGTCTCAATCTCTGACACCAGGGTCAAAGTTGAGTCTGTCACCACAGTCAAGCTCATTCTGTTCCTCAGTCAGAAGCCTCCATATAAAGGCTGAGCTCAGAGCCACAGCCTTCAACCTTTAGCCCGTGGATCCTGGACCTTTAGGGTTCACAGATGCAAGATGTTGAGTGTCAACACACCCTGGGTTCTGCTGAAATAGGAAGGTAAGGGGAGACTGGAGGTGAGGCTTAGAGAGATTGGGGAAGGTAGAGGACAGGGAGTGAGCCAGTGGGGGGCACACATGGGGGCCTGATCAGCAGGAGCAGTAGCTTCCTGGGGTGGGACAGAGATAGGTGTGTGTGGGATGATGGACCCCTTCAGGAAGTGCCAAGTTAGGTTTCTGCTCACCCCATAGTTTAGATCCCCGATGGCGGGGTAGCCCATGTCCTGTTTATACCCTGGAGCCAGGGTCATTATTCATAGTTACCCTTCCATTCCCCAAAGGGTGTGGGCTGACTCATCAATCCTGTGGCCACCCTGCCTATAGCCATGGTTGTTAGCAGAGGGTAGGGGGTGATGGTGCCTCTCCCCATCACACTGAGCTGAGAGATGGGGCAGGAATGGGTAGTCTGTGCCACTTCACTTTCCCCCTTCTAGCTGCACATGTACAAAGATAAGCCTGAGTGTTAGGGGCCCAAAGAGACAATTTTGAGGGTTTGCTTGAATAAGAAGAATGCAAATTTATGAATATGAAATTGCTGGGGCTTTTGTCAGAGGTTTGGGTGGGGCAGGTGCAAGCTTAACTCTGTTTGCTGCAAGGTAAATACACTCATGCAAGGTAAATGCCCTGCAAGGTAAATGCTTTCCACCATCACTGTGTCCCCGTCCCCAACCCAGTCTGCTTGGAGGGACTGCTGGGCTGCCCTCCCTGAGTCCTGCATCGACCTCCTTCCCCATCCCAGAGCCAAGGCAGCATCTGTGACTCAAAAAAATGTTGGAACAAAACAAACTGGGAAGGAGGAAGAAAACCAGATGTGAGGTGAGTCCTGGAGACCAGTGGGAGCTTGGGAAGGGAGGGGCAGTCCCATGCCTAAAGCAGATAGTCCTGGGCCCTCAGGGGAGGTGAGGCTTCTATCTATATATGGAAGTTTCTGATCCAGGATTAGGCTGAGCTTGACACTGGTGAAAGACTCAAGCTTGACCCTGGTGAGAGGCTCAACCTTGAGCCTGGTGTCAGAGATTGAGACCCAATCTTCATGCCATAGACTGAGCTTCCATCCTGGTGTCAGACTGAGCCTTCTATCCTAGCTGTCAGAGAATGAATTCCCACCCTAGTGCTACAAACTGAACCCCAACCCTGGTTCACTCACTGAACCTTGGTCTCAGACTGAGCTCTGACCTCGATGTCACACGATGAACTGTGACGTTGGTGATAGACTCACTCCTCTGAGCACCAGACTTTGTCTCTAGTGGCTTCTGGTCACCTCTGCCTGATATTTCCACCTGCATCCCAACTTCAAGCTGTCAAGACCCATCTCTTCATTTTCCCACCTCTTCTATGTCCCCATATTGATGTGACCATATTATCCTCCCAGTGATCTGCCAGAACCTGGAGACCAACCTTATTTTCTCTCTATCTTTGGGACACCAAGCACTGTCCATTTCACTTCCATAACATTCTCTATTCCATCCCCTCTTCTTCTTTACCTTGACACTGTCTCAATTTCAGCCCCATTATTTAGGCATGGGACTGCCCCTCTAGGCAAAAAATATTTACTCTTTGGGCATTATAAAAAACAAACAAACAAATAAATAAAATTGTCAGCCTCTGCTATAGACTGTGAGGTCTTTGAGTGGAGAGACTTTGTTTTACCTCCTTATGGATCCCCAGGTCCCCAGTAATAGTAAGATCTTAAATATATTGGTCACTTCCTATGTGTCTGGCCTAGCACTAAGCCCATCATGTACTTTTCCTATTCTATCCTCACAACAACCCTCTGAGTCCTCACTTTACAGAAGCAGAAACTGAGATCAAAGAGGTACAGTGTCTTACCCAAGGTCACACCAAATTGGTAAAAAGTGGAGTTGGAATTTGAACACAGGTATGCGCAACTACAAAGCAAGGGCTAGTAACTACTAGGATATCCTGTCGTGAGTAGCATTGGCCACAGAGCTGGCTTCCATGAACGCTTGCTGTTGAAAGAATGGATGAATGGATGCATGAATGGGTGGGTAAATGGTTGGATGGATGATGGATGGATGGATGGACAGTTAGATGGCTGGCTGGTTGCATAAATGGATGAATGAGTGGTTGGGTGAATGGATGGATGGGTGGATAGGTGGGTGGGTGAATGGTTGGTGGTTTGGTGAATTGGGTGAATGGATAGGTGGGTGCATGGGTGGGTGGATAGATGGATGAATGAGCAGATGGATGGATGGATGTGTGGGTGGATGGTTGGATGTATGTGTGGGTGGTTGGATGAATGGGTTATTGGGTGAATGAATGGATGGGTGGGTGGGTGGATGTATGATGGTTGGGTGAATAGATAGATGGGTGGGAGCATGGATGGTTGGAAGGATGAATGGATAGTTGCATGAATGGACGGATGGTTGGATGGGTGAATGATTGGATGGGTGGACAGACAGATGGTGTGACAATGTACAGAGGAAGTGATGTACCATACTTATGAGATGGCATTGGGGGGCAACGAAAAGATAGAGAAGGGGCATGGGTAAAATTGTGGCAGAGAAGCTAGGCAAGAAGGGACCCACAAAGAAAGCACTTATTACATATGGACTTATTATATATTGGGGAATGAATGAAAACGTATGACCAGCATGGGCAACTGGGGCAGCTGAGAGCAAGAAGCAGTGTGTCTCTGCCCCAGAGAACCTCACTAAAGGTCCCTAATCCTCTTCCCCCAGCCTTGTCTGCCACCCTAAGTTCAATCCCACCATTTTCCCAGGGAGTCCCATCAGATGCCAGACAGTCAGTTACAGAGCCTAAGAGGGACACAGGTAGGCCCTTCTCATTCTCCAGGGCCCCTCTTCTAGGGGAGTTAAGCCAGGGTAGATCTGGGCCCAAGTAAGGAGAGGGGCATAGTAGGGAATGGGTTCTACTCCCCACCCCCATGCTTCTCTCTGGGGACCAGCTCAAATACTGGCAACCACCTCCACCACCCCCAGCCATGGAAAGGGTGTAGAGTTGTCACCAGTTTTCACAGATCACTCCTCCACCTGCTGGCTTATAAATCACAGCCTCTACCTGCTTGGGGGGGGGGGGGCTCTGGTGGCATAATGTCTAAGGCACTTGACTGGTATCCAGAAGGGTGGTGGTTCAAACCCGCCAGCCACTCCTCAGAAGGAAGATTGGGCAATTTATACTGCCTTGGAAACCCGAGGAGGGGTATCTTGAGTCGGATCCGACTCAATGGCAGAGAGAGTGAGTTAAGTTGAGACCTGCCTGGGCAGGAAGTGGGTGACAGGGGCAGGGTAGATCTTCATCAGGACTGGGTCGCCGGTGGGTGCCTTGATGACCCATGGTTGATGCACACATTGTCCAGAATTGACATCTCCCCAGGCCCTCTGAGTCCTGGTGGTGCAGTGGTTAAAGCGGTTGGCTGCTAAGCTAATCAAAAGGTTGATACCTCAAACTCACCATCTGCACCAGGAGAGAAAGTTGTGGCAGTGTACTTCCATAAAGATTGACAGCTTTGGAAACCCTATGAGGCAGTTCTACCCTGTCCTAGAAGATCACTGAGTTGACATTGACTTGAAGGCAATGAGTTTTGTAGTGCCTAAGGCATTTGACTGCTAACTGGAAGGCTGGCGGTTCAAACCCACCAACCACTCCTCAGAAGGAAGACTGGGCAATCTACTATCATAGAGATACTGCCCCGGAAACTCAAAGAGGGGTCACTACGAGTTGAATCGACTCAATGGCAGTGAGTTTTTTTCACCCTCAGGCCCTCAGGTTGCTTACTCTGGTTCAGAGAGTAGTACAATGGCAGTCTCAGAACACTACTGGTTTCAAGTCCTGGCTCCTCCAGCACATACTTGCTGAGTGATCTCTGAGTTCTACTTCACATGACATAGAACTAACAGGTCCTGGTGTCTGGTGAGGGATCAACGACTGGCTACAGCTTCTGTCCTTATGACAACTGCTCTGTTACATTGTAAGCCCCAGGCCACCCTCTTTCTCCCCAGCCCAGCCTCCAAGTCTCCTGACACTTCTGCCTCCTCCCTGACCCCAGCAATAGCTCTTGAGGGAGAGAATGGGGAATGAACAAGCAAATATGTCTTCTCTGGCTCTTGGCTCCATTCTCTGTCTCCCTAAACAAGGGCCCACACAGTGACGGTGGTCTGCTCTTGCTGAGGCTCACTGGTGAGGCTGGCCTGACCAGCAAGGGCTCACACAGGTGAGGGGCTTGGGCAAGAAGTCCAGGAGGGTGTGAGTGAATGACCAACTTCTGCCCCCAGCTGCTTTGTGGGCTGGACACTACCTGGTTATTTTTAGGCACTAAGTGCCTCCTGTGATAAAGTGGAGGGTCAATGAAAAAGGGGAAGGCCCTCAGCGAGATGGACTGACACAGTGGCTGCAACGATGGGCTCAGGTAGAGCAAGGATCGTGAGGCTGGCACAGCACCAGGCAGTGTTTCGTTCTGGTGTACGTAGGGTGGCTATGAGTCAGAGCCGACTTGACAGCACCTAACAGCAGCAACAACAAATACCTTCTGAGATTTAAGAAGTATCTCTTTGCAAAAGCAATTCACTCAGGCCTTGGAGAATACAATATAAGAACTTTTCCAGCCTTTACAGAGGTAAACCAAGACCCTGGACCCTGGGGCAGTGTGTGAGAGAGAGAGAGAGAGAGAGAGAGAGAGAGAGAGGGTGAGGATGTATCATAGGAGCCCTGGTGGTGCAATGAATGGTTAAGCTTCCGCTGCAAACCCAAAGGTCAGCAGTTTGGACCCACCCAGCAGTCCCGTGGGGGAAAGATGTGGCATTCTGCTCCCACAAAGACCACAGCCCAGGGAACCTTGTGAGGGAGTTCTACTCTGCCCTATAGGGACACTCTGAGTCGGAATCCACTTGATGACAATGGTTTTTTTATGTGTGTATGTAAGTGTGTAGGGAGCTCTGGTGGTGCAGGGGTTAAGGCATTTGGCTGCTAACTAGAAGCTTGTGGTTTGAACCCACCAGCTGCTCAATCAGAGAAAGATGAGGCAATTTGCTTCCATAAAGATTCACAGCCTTGGACACTTGGGTTGCTATGAGTCGGAATCGACTCAATGGCAGAGAGTTTGAGTTTGGATTTAAGTGTGTGTGTGATTATACAAGTGTGTATGTGTGTGTATATGAGTGTGTATGACCATATGTGTATAGTGAGTGTGTAAGGAGCCCTGGTGGCACAACGGTTAAAGGCTGGACTGTGAACTGAAAGGCTAGTGGTTCAAACCCACCCAGCGGCACCATGGGTAAAAGACCTAGTGATCTGCTCTGGTAGATTACAGCCTAGGGAACCTTATGGGGCAGTGCTACTCTGTCACAAAGGGCTGCTCTGAGGGGCATTAAGTACACAACAACAACAACAACAACATGTGAGTGTGGGAATGTGTGTGTCTTTGAGAGATATGTCTGCCAAAACCCATGAGAGTCTCAAATGTCCCCCTCCTGCTGCCTCCCTGGGCCCCTGCCCTGTAGCTGGCCTGGGAACCAACATCACTATTTCCCAAGGAGTCCCGGGGCTCCCCCTGGGGGTTCTGGAGCTAAATCGATGGGATAGACCCTTTTGCAAATTTACTTCCTTCTGCAAATGTACTTTCTGGTCAACTTTGGGGAGACATTTCCTCTGGGACAAGAGGGACCCCACAACACTGTGATTGGGCCCAATGTGTCAGGGGCCATGGAATCTCCCGGAGACCCTGGAAGGGTGCCAAAGGCCAGAATTGTGCCCCTCCCCAGTGACGGGTCCAAGCAAGGGCCGGCAGTCTGAGTCTGCGTCCCAGACAAGGAAGGCAGGCCTGCAGACGGGCTGTATAGGGAGCCTGCCTGAGTAGACGATGCCCGCTGGGCACTGACTGCCCCTTACCTCTTTTGAAGGCCCAGTGCTTCAGCCACAGCTTGGAGAAGGCCGGCCAGGAATGGTTGAGCACCGAGTCAGCCATGGGGCCGCGTGTGTGAGACTGTGATAGAGCCCCAGGGATCCCTGCCAGGACCCTGCTGCCAGCAAGAGGGGTGGAGCTTGTCGCCTGCCCTCTGGCTGCCAGACACATCAGCTGATGGGAGCCCCAGGCTGGGGCAGGGGCTGGGATTTTTGGTGCATGTGATGTGGCCTGAGAACCCCAGCCTGGGGAAGGACAAACCCTTTGCACCCCTTTTGGCCCTTTGGCTCTGTGCTTCGGATGGACATTCAAATATATTTCTAGGAGGTGAGGAAGAGAGCAGTGTGAGGATACTGGGGTCTTCAGAAACCAAACACAGTGCAGCCTGGTCCTGAGTTGTCTGAGTGTTTGCGTGTGTGTGCCTGCCATTGTCTGTATGCGTCTGGCAGTGCTCTTGTGTGTCAGGTTGGGGTATGTTTTCAGGTCTGTGAGTGTTTGTGTGCAGATCTTGAGGATCAATTCATTTATGTGGGTACGTCCATGATTATCTGGGTGGGTTTTTAAATCTCTGTGATCCTGTCTGTGTAGGGTTCTGATGGTTTGTGTGCGTGTGCGTGTGCGTGTGTGTGTGTGTGTGTGTGAGTGGCCATCGTATCTGTGGGGTTGGATCTATACGGCTCCTCTGTGTTTCTGTGGGGATCTGTTTCTTGTATCTCTGAGGGAGATGTGGTGTCTGCCTGGGTTTGCATGTGTGTCTTTGTCTCTGTGTATCAGTTTGGTGTGTGTGCACGTGAGGTCTCACCATCCATACGAGTGCTGCCCTCTGGTGATGGAAGCTCCGTTCCATGCACCTTCACCACTTGTACCTGAAAAAAAATTCTGGGCTTTGTCCTTTGCCAACCCCCTTGTTCTCTCACCACACCCTTTCTGTGACCTTCCAGCCCTAAACCATCATCAGTCTGAGGAAAAATGAAACAACACAATGAAATGATCATTGTGTGTGCCTGTCCTTCCTAGCCCACAGGGCCCACCCTCACACACTTGGAGGAAGAGTCTGTCACCTCCTCCCCAGTGACACCTCACTCTCTTCCTTTTCTTCTCACAGAGTCAATTACACTCCTATCTTTACCTCGTTACACCTACTAGGCTCCACAGCTCACTGCAGCCCGGTTTCCATCCCCTTCTCTCTTCTGGTTCTCCCCCGGGCTAAATCCAATGAACACTTTGGATGTCATCCATCCTTTTTACTGGACACTCCAGACACTCCCTTCTTGTAACCCACCCTCCCTATGATACCACACATGACTCCTTCCTCTCTTTGCTCCTTCCCAGTTTCCTGCTTGAGTTAGCTTGCCTTCCTTTCTCTGCCTGACACTTCAGCTGTGCCCTTGGCCACTTTATGCTCCCCTCACTGGCTCTGGTGCAAATCCTATCTGCACCTCCTCATGGCCTCTGCTCCCATATTATGAGCACATGACCCTCAAATCTTTCACTCACAGATGGACATGAGACCATAACCCTACAAACCAACACACAATGCATTCTTAAGTACACATAGACATTGGCACACACAAACACAAAAAGAGTTAGACATTTGTTCACCCCTAGATACGCACACATACATTATACACAAATGCCCAGACATGTACATAGAAACTCAGAGAAGGGCTCAGGGGGATTTAAAACCACCTTCTCTGCTATGCTCCAGATTTTAATTCCTCATCTCCTGCCACATACATTCCCCTGGACAGGTTACAGTGCCACTTGGATCTCCCTGACCCCTGGCTGGAGAGCAGAAATGACAATACCACACAAGGGAAGGTGAGAAGCTGGGAGGGGACTCCATTAAACTGATGACATTGGAGGCAGAGACCCAGGTGGGCAGAATCAGAGAAAAAGACAGCGATTGCCAAAGCAGAGTGAGCAGTTGAGAGCTTGCTAACAGTCTTACTTTAAGAACACATGAGTGATCTCTTTCTGACAACGATGCAGTAGATTACTGGAAATGGAGCTGTCCACCAAGAACAAGTAGGAAAGCTAGACAAAATTAGAAAACAAGCAAAAACCCCTCAATTTGAAGGCTTCTGTAGCCAGGGTTGGAGGGGCCAGGATCTTGGAGGGAAGGCAAACCTAGATAGTCAAGGAAGACATAACATAGTCCTTTTTTTCTCACAAGCAAGTTGTTAGTTTGAACACAGTGCTTGGGTGGTAAGGAGCAGACCAGAAAAAGGCAGAGAAGCTTTTGACAGCATGGATCGACACCGTGGTTGCAATGATGAGGGCAAGCACAGCACGGACTGTGAGGCTGGCACACGCCCAGGAAGTGTTTTGTTCTGTTGTAAATAGGGTTGCTGAGAGTTGGAGCCCACTGGTCAACACCTAACAACAGCAAGGAAACAAAAATTGGTGTTCAGAACCTACAAAGAGAAGAGAGTTGCGACCCCCAAAAGACTAGGAAAAGTAAGCAAGGATCAGAAACTGACCAGCCCTCACCAACACCAGCTGACCCGCTCATCTTCTGTGTCTTTCACCAGAGAGATTGGAAACCCTGGACGTGCTCTGGGCTCTGGCCTTCCGACTAATGGCCCGTGAGGGTGGCAGGGCAGAGGGGGCGTGGGTCCTCTACCCTGCCCACTCCCCCCAGGCACCCAAGGCGGCCGTGTGCCATAGTCGAGCTTGCCCTGCTCCTTCTCCCTCAGGGGTCCGTGTTCTGGCAAGTCAGGCATTCTCCATGCGGGGTTTCCGCCCTTCTGTAGCCCGGCCGGGGCCGGTGAGGCAGAACACTGTTCTTGCCCTGCTCCCGGCAGGGTCCTCCAGGCTTGTCACCATACCGTGACCAATGGGACATCTCTTCTCCCTCTGTCCGCGGGTCCCTGGCCTCTACTCCTTGCCTGTGGACGGTGCTTGGAAGGCAGGGGTGCGGGACTCCTGCCAATCCCGCTCACTGTCCCCTGCCTGAGCCAAGGTGGTGGCAGTGGAGGGGTTCTCTGACAGAGTGGCCATCACCTTACTTGCTCTGGCCTGGTGCCTGGCATCTGTCAGTTTGTCCTACTGTGGTGGCTTGCATGTTGCTGTGAGGCTGGAGGCTATGCCACTGGTATTTCAAATGTTAGCAGGGTCACTCATGGTGGACAGGTTTCAGTGGAGCTTTCAGACTAAGACAGACTCAGAAGAAGGAAGGGACCATCCATTTCTCGAAGAATTGGCCAGTGAAAATCTTATGAATAGTAGGGAAACACTGTCTGATGTATTACTGGTAAACTTCATGAATAGCCCTGAAACATTGTCCAATGTAGTGCTGGAAGATAAGCCCCTCACGTCAGAAAAAAACAAAAAACCAAAATCACTGCCATCAAATTGATTCCTACTGATAGGGACCCCCTTTGGGGTTTTGAGGCAATAAATCTTTTCAGAAGTAGATTGCCCAGTTTTCCTTCCACAGAGTGGCTGGTGAGTTTGAACCACCAACCCGTCTGGTTAGCAGTCAAGTGTCTTAGGCACTACACCACCAACGCTCCTCAAAATATGACTGGGGAAGAGCTGCCTCCTCAGAGTAGAGCCAACCTTAATAACATGGATGGAGTAAAGCTTTCAGGATCTCCATTTGTGGAAGTGGCATGACTCAAAATGAGAAGAAACAGCTGCAAACATCCATTAATGATCAGAACATGGAATGTATGAAGTATGAATCTAGGAAAATTGGAAGTTGTCAAAAATGA